GAGCTTGCAGTGAGCCGAGATTATGCCACTGCACTCCAGCCTGGGCTACAGAGCAAGACTCCGTCTAAAAAAAAGAAAAATAAAATAAAATAAAATAAATAGACTGGGCGCGGTGGCTCACGCCTGTAATCCCAGTACTTTGGGAGGCCGAGGCAGGCAGATCACAAGGTCAGGAGATCGAGACCATCCTGGCTAACACGGTGAAACTCCGTCTCTACCAAAAATACAAAAACTTAGCTGGGCGTGGTGGCGGGTGCCTATAGTTCCAGCTACTCGGGAGGCTGAGGCAGGAGAATGGCGTGAACCCAGGAGGCGGAGCTTACAGTGAACCGAGATTGCGCCACTACACTCCAGCCTGGGTGACAGAGCAAGATGCTGTCTCAAAAATAAAATAAGATAAAATAAGATAAAATAAAATAAAATAAATCTGACTTCCCATTGCCAACAGCTATAGTCCAAGCTCAAGAGCAGTCTAACCATCTGCTCCCAGCCACGACACCTCACACTTCCCTGCAGTCCCTACGCTCCCACACAACTGCCACTGGGCCTGACCTCACAGTGCCTTTACTCCCAGCCATTCCTTCCTGTCCCACTGGCTCTCGATTCCTGCCCTTCTTCGCAGTCTCAGTGTAGCTCCTTCCTGTCCTTCAAGCCCCGCTTTCCTGTGGAGCATCGTTGTTCTCTGCAGTTGAAAGAGCTCTCCTCTTCTGAACTCTGAGCATTTGTCTGTGGCTCTAATTTCTTATGCATCTCTAGTCTACCTATCTGTATTCAGAAAAGACACTCAAAATATGTACTGAATTGATCAGGAATTATTTTCCCATGTGTCTTCAGAGCTTTAGTTTAATCTAAGGTTCCTGTTGGATCCTTTCTGGGATCGTAGAATTTGAGATCATAGACCCTGGCCATCTGGTTCAAACCCCTCCGGCTCTCACGTGGAACAGTGAGGTCTGCAGCTGAACGTCTTCTCTGATGTCACGCAGCCTGCCGGCCTCGAGAGCTAGAACCCACGCCCTCCTGACCTGCGGCTTCTGGTTCTCTTCTGAGTGATACAACACAGTTTCAAGATTCCCAGGAAAGGTTACTTTCATTTTTATGACCATAAAAAGTAGCCTGAAAATGCTAACATCATTTGATCGTTTACAGGTGAAATCTTTGTGTGCCTCCCTGTTGGACTCAAATGTTCTTGTGCAAAGAAATAATCTGGAAATCGTTCTGTTTTTCTTCCCATTTTATACCTGTCTGGTAAGTCATTTGTACTCTTCTGGTAAGTCACTGGTGTTTTTCCAAGGGGTGGAATATAGATTTCAAGCAGTTTTATCCTAAGAGGACAGCTCAGCCACTCATGGGCGTTATTTGCTGGTAGCCAGTGAAAAGTCCTTGTTCATTTTTGCAGGGATAGCGTTTTCATTGCACGTATTGAATAGCTTCTTTCCATAGGTAATGTGTAAGGAACCAGCCCTTTTTGAGATTGAGCTTGGTAGACCAGCAAGGAAGGCTGCATGTCAAAAAGTCACCAATCTCCCCTATCGTTCCCTTGTAGTAAATTTCTCTGTCCTTCTAATAGGATTCCAATGAGAGAGCCATTCCCCTCCTCAGATCTGACATCGTGCGCATTCTCTCAGCTGCCACCCAGACACTACTGAGAAGGGACATGTCCCTGAACAGAAGACTGTATGCATGGTTACTAGGTACTGAGCAGTATGCACCCTTTTAAAGTCAAAGTTAATGTGAAACCTTTTAGTGCTGACTTCTGGGATAAGATTTGGTCTTGGTGATGTATCCCTGAATCATGAAGTATGGAAAGATACCACAATGACTAAATACGGCACTGATCAGTTGAGGTCTGCTGCCTACACATAGCTTGGTTATTTTGCAGTTGTTTTTTTTTTTGTTTTTTAAAAGGGGAAATAATAAGTGGGATTTTTAAAATGCCAACCGAATTCCATTTTAAGAGCTTGAAATACCACCAAAACATGGTAGCAAAACCTTATTCAAGTAGAAGCCTGTTGCTATGGAGAACTTTCATGGGATGAGAGTGTATCATGGAGAAAACTTACAAATATTGTGGAAGATATGTAAATAAAGGAGGAGGTTTCGTGTAAGTGGAAATGTTTTGGGAGACATTTGGATAACTTTGGAGATCACGAAAGCCCCGGGGCCATGTTTCTGTGTGTCAGAGTGTGTGGACTGCCTCTAAATTTGTTGGCAAAGGGCCCTTGACTGTTGGTTGGAAGGCCTCCCAGGGACAGAGTCTAGGAAATTGCAACTTAAAAGATAACACATTCATGAATTTTCTAAAGTCCCATATTCACGCACCTAAGAAAAGGTGGTATGCAGAATGATTGTGACAGGACTTTACAGCTCTGATTAACTCTCAATATTTAGATCTTTTTTTTCCTTTTTGAGGTGGAGTTTCACCTCATCGCCCAGGCTGGAGTGCAGTGGTGCAATCTGGGCTAATTGCAACCTCCGCCTCCCAGGTTCAAGTGATTCCCATGCCTCAGCCTCCCAAGTAGCTGGGATTTCAGGCACCCACCACCCCGGCCGAGTAGTTTTTGTATTTTTAGTAGAGATGGGGTTTTACCCTGTTGGCCAGGCTGGTCTTGGACTCCTGACCTCAGGCTATCTGCCCACCTCTACCTCCCAAAGTGCTGGGATTACACGCCACTGCACTCAGCCTAGCATTGAGATCTTATCAAAGATCTGTACCAAAGATCTTACCAAAGTCAAGAAGTCCTCTTCAGTCCTTCTTCCTTCTCTTCTCCCTAGTTATAAAACCTTTAAAAGTCATTGCATGGAAGCTTACTAAGGATTTTAAGAAGACTGTTTATCAGCTCTTTAAGGACTTGTATGTAAAGGATGATTTTGTTAAATGCACAGCTCTGCTCTTACGGGACTTGATATGCTATGTGGAGGGCACTGGACCTGACCACAGCACCAACTCTGACTCACTTAGTTGCGGCCCCAGGAGCCCCATATTCTTTGCCCGTACCATGAGGATGCACTTCCTCGCCCTGAGAATCTCGCAGACTTATCCAAGGCTCCAGCTCTTGGGGGCATGTGCATGAGAATACCTTGATCTCACGTAATGCTGGACCAAAAAACACTGGTTTTAAAAAATGATCCTCAGGCAGGCCTGGTGGCTCATGCCTGTAAAATCCCAGCACTTTGGGAGGCCGAGGCAGGTGGATCACTTGCCGTCAGGAGTTCAAGACCAGCATGGCCAACATGGTGAAACCCCATCTCTACTAAAAAATACAAGTGATTCTCCTGCCTCAGCCTCCCAAGTAGCTGGGATTACCGGTGTGCGCGACTACACCCGACTAATTTTTTTTGTATTTTTAGTAGAGATGGGGTTTCATCATGTTGGCCAGGCTGGTTTCGAACTCCTGACCTCAGGTGATCCGCCCACCTTGGCCTCCCAAAGTACTGGGATTACAGGCATGAGCCACGCGCCTGGCTAACAGGATGAATTCTTAGAACAAACTAAACTGATACCCATTGAGATGGAATTCTGCCTGTCTGATCATTAGCCACACCCCTGTCAGAAGAAGAAAATCTGACTTGGTCTTTCTAGATCTGATTCTGGTTTTCCGTCAGAGGAATATATTTTTAAAAATATTGGAGCATGAGACTTTTGCACGATATGATGTCCTTTAGAAACATAGCTCTCTTTACAGCTCGGTGCTTGTTCTTTTATAGGCTCAGACATTAAAGGAAATACCGTTGTGCCAGAATCTGAAATCTCAAATTCTTATGAAGATCAGTCGTCTTATTTTTTTGAAAAATACTCCAAGGATCTTTTAGTTGAGGTAAAGGAGCATTTCTGGAAAGTTCAGGGCATCCCTGGTGACGATTCTCCGGTGGATTTCTTTGGGAGGCTTCCACGCAGGCAGTGAGCATGTTCCTTGGCCCCTGGTTTGGGGAACTGCAGTGTATTTGTTGCATGCTGGGTGACTGGTTTGCCTTCTGTCCCAGAGTATTTAACAATTAAAATAGCCAGTAATGTTGTTACACTTCATGATATACGATATTCTAATATGTGACTTTTTTAAAATAAATAGGGTCTGGCTGAGATATTGCATCAGAAGTTCATAGATGCCGACGTGGAGGAACGCCATCATGCATACCTGAAGCCTTTTCGCGTCCTCATCAGCCTGCTTGACAAGCCAGAGATAGGTAATGTTAGAAATGCTGCTACAATCCTATGCCGAATACAGATTGCCTGTTTTCAGGGAACTACAACACGGTGAGATACAACCGAAGTATTATTTTGAATATACTTTAATCTTTGGAATTTCAGAAATTTGAAGTCATGTTATATGGTTCAATGATCAGATCTGTGGTCACTTAAAAGTTTTGCATGGCTGGGCGCAGTGGCTCATGCCTGTAACCCTAGCACTTTAGGAGGTGGAGGAAGGAAGATCAATTGAGCTCATGGATTTGAGACCAGCCTGGGTAACATGGCTGAAAAGCCACGTTGAAAAACCCCATCTCTACAAAAAAATACAAAAAAAATTAGCCAGGCATGGTGGTGCTTCCCTGTAGTCCCAGCTACCAAGTGGCGGAGGTGGGAAGACCACCTGAGCGCAGGGGGTCGAGGCTGCAGTGGGCCGTGATTGCACCACGGCCCTCCAGCCTGGGTGACAGAGTGAGATGCTGTCTGAAAAAAAAGTTTTGCACAATAATCTGAACATTTTTGTTAGGAAAATACCTTTGAGCTCCTATAGTGTCTACAGAACACCTGTGGTATTTCCTTTTTAAGACTGTTTCTGCAATGTCATACTTAAAATGAGCTTTGGTTTGATTTTCAATTAAGTAGGGGACCTCCTCTATCTTTTTGCCTTGGGATCCTGGGCAAGCCACTTCTTTTCGCTGTGTAGAGTAAAAACATTTTCACTGTAAAATGAAGGGCGGTGAACTAGACTCTGGTCACCGAAGGCTCCCCTCTTAGAGACTATGATCGTATTAGCATAGGTTGAGAAAAGTGACCTTCTCTCACTATTTATTTATTTATTTATGAATGAATGAATGGCAGAGTCTTGCTCTGTTGCCCAGGCTAGAGCACACTGGTACAATCTTGGCTCACTGAAACCTCTGTCTCCTGGGTTCAAGCAATTCTCCTGCCTGACCTTCCCCAGTAGCTGGGTTTACAGGCATGCGCCACCACGCCTGGCTAATTTTTGTATTTTCAGTAGAGATAGGGTTTCATCATCTTGGCCAAGCTGGTCTCAAACTCCTGACCTCAAGTGATCTGCCTGCCTTGGCCTCCCAAAGTGCTGGGATTACAGGTGTGAGCCACCGCCCCGGCCCTCTCCCTCACTTTAAAAAGAAATCTGTGGCCGGGCCCGGTGGCTTATGCCTGTAGTCCCAGCACTTTGGGAGGCTGAGGTGGGCAGATCACCTGAGGTCAGGAGTTTGAGACCAACATGGCAAAACCCCACCTCTACTAAAAATATAAAAATTATCTGGGCGTGGTGGCACACACCTGTAATCCCAGCTACTTGGGTGGCTAAGGCGGGAGAATTGCTTGAACCCGGGAGGTGGAGGTTGCAGTGAACTGAAATCACGCCACTGCACTCCAGCCTGGGCAACAGAGCAAGACTCTGTCTCCAAAAAAAAATAATAATAAATTCTATCTTAAAAAAATACACAGGAAACTTAGCATGAAAATAGTTCTCTCAGAGACACATCTTTTGGTTTTGTGAAAAGAAAGTGTAAAAGATTGGATTAATTTGCTTTTTTGCCAGTGTTGACAGAGCTTTCGTTTTCTCTGAATTGATTGCGTATTTCCTCCTCTGGATACGTGGGTAAGAAGTCAGGCCCTCAGCTGCCTGAGGGTTGCGGTTTGCAGAGCAGAAATGCCCTGTCCATCCCCTGCCTGGTTGCAGTGAAGCTTCTCTAACGTGCAGCTGGTCCAGTTCTCTTGTGCCATCTTTCTCAGCATTTCAGGATGGGCATCATTTCTTTTGTGTTGCTCCAGCTCATGACTAAAGGAATTGAAGAAGTTGCCCTGCTCTCTGGATATTTCTGTTGAGTAATGTCCCTGTCCAGCAGTTTATGCACACTTAACACACGTTGTCTGCGCTCTGCCTTCATCTAGCAGAGTCTGCCTTGGGCAAGTTACTTAACCTCTCTGTGCTTCCATCTTCTTACGTGTAATCAGCAGTACAGGATCTGTCCAGATGGCTGTTACGAGGGTTTAATACGTTAATAGATGTAAAATGCGTAGAAGGGTGTCTGGCACATAGGAAGTTCTACAAAAATGTTGGCTATTTTCATGAATGTTGTTTCCCCAGCTAAAGTTGTCACCACTAAAGTTAAGTTTCTGTATATTTTAGACTATATAAATTGTCTGTATGCGCAGGTTTACTGTATATATGTCTTATGTATATGTCACTTACTGATTTAAAAGGGATTGTTAATCTGTCTCTGACCATCTTCCTTCTAATTGCAGGGCCTCAGGTGGTTGGGAATTTGTTTCTGGAAGTCATCAGGGCCTTTTATTCTTACTGCAGAGATGCCCTTGGTTCTGATCTTAAACTTAGCTACACCCAGAGTGGAAATTCGCTGATAAGGTATGAGTTTGGCCTTTAACATCACACATCTCTTTCCCTCCCCGGTACTGTGATTTGTTTTTTCCTCTCTTGCTTACTATAAATTGTGAAGTAGTAGAGAAAGTGGAGATGCAGCAGGTGAGACCCTTGGTTAAAATAATCAATGCCTTGAAGTCAGTCAATGGGAATTGACTGCTCCCTGCTGAGTACTGTGAAGAGTTTAAACGGAGTTTGATGTAGTCTTTCCCCCAGCCTGGAATGACAGGTATTTATTGATTTTTTGATAAGTATGAAGTGTATTTTTGATCAAGTATGAAACAATGAAATGTATGTATTGATCAAGTATGAAACTCATTTAACAAAAGCAACTTGATCTAGTATACCCAAGTGGTGAGTTACAGGATGGAGAGAAGAGGGAAAATGGAGGGGAGTGTGCCTGGCAAGTGGAAAGGGGATGTGAGGCTTCAGGACAGGAGTCTGGGGTGTGTTGGGGGAGATTGGGGGAGACCCAGGCAGGGCACCAGAGGGCACAGGCTCCACTGTCCCGGAGGCAGAGTGAGTGGTGTTTGGAAGAGAGCAGGCACATCAGCCTCAGGTGCACAGTTACACACAAACCCTGTTTTGTTTGTTTAGTTTGTTCCTTTTAAAGGGATACAACCTTTTCTTTTTTGCTTTACTCTTAATGTAATTTCCTTTTTTCCTGTTTTTCTGGTTTATTAGTTATAAGTGTACCAAGAGTTCTTAGTGTTTGCTTTTTTCTCCCAGAATGAAAGCGGTTTATTGTTTTTCTGAATATGAAAGTCATACATGTTCATTGTCGAATTTACTGATATTTGAAAGATCAAGAAAAAGATGTCACCCATAATCCTAGCACCCTTCAGAGAAAACCATAAAACATTTTTACCTCTTTCTAGACTTCTACTACATACATAAATACATAGATGCCTGTCTTTTATTTTAAAGGTAGAATTACACCCAGTTACTTAGTTGCTTGGGGTTTTCCTTTTGTTTTCTTGTTGTTGATTTGTTTGTTTGGTTTTGAGACAGGGTCGCCCAGGCTGTAGTGCAGTGGCGTGAACATGGCT